ACTACAGCCCAGGGGAGCCAAATGCGTTCACCAGCTGGAGTTTTAATGCAGTTCCCCATCACCATAGGGGTGCATCAAGGCTCTGCGCTTTCCGAACTACTTTCCGTTGGCGTAATGAATACTATCTCACGAGGTCTGCAGAAGGAAGTTCCCTGGACGCTGATTTATGCTGATGATGTGATGCTTGCCTATGAAGATAGAACACACTCCAGCAGCAGGTGCAAGCTGGGCCGATCGTCTGCAAAGTTTAGACTCAGGTTAAACGCCAAAAAGACCGAGTACTTGACAACCGGCCCAAATGAGCCCTCCATTAAGATTGTGAAACGGAGCTCAAGCGCACAAGAACATTCAAGTATCTCGGATCAGCAGTTGGGTCTGATCGGTCTGATTCAGGAGTGAGAGCACGAGTGGGCGCGGCATCGTACGAATGGCGACACCCATTACTGGGATCCTCTACGATAAGAAAATGCCATCGCATCAAGTCAAACATCTCTAGAACCGTGGTTCAACCAGTCGCGATATACGGTGCTGAATGCTGGTTCGCGACCAAAAAAGTTGAAGCTCGCTCCAGTGATGGAGATGAAACTGTTGTGTTGGACTGGACGGTGGGCGTCACGCGCCTGGACCGCATCTGCAACGATGTCGTCAAAAAGTCCGGTGTACCTCCTATAGCTGACGAAATGTGAGAAACGCGCCTTTCGATGGTACGATGTGCATGTGCTTCGCGCGAAGGCTGACACCGTGGGTCAAACCGGTCTCCGGCTCGAGGTACTCGAAAGCGGCCAAAAGGGCGTCTCAAACAGCGCTGGCTTGGCACGCTGCATGACAACTTGAAAATAGCCGGAATTCACTCGGACCATCCATTCAATCGGAAGAAGTGGCGTAATCATATAAGAGCGGACTCCGCTACAGAACGCGACAAGAGCTGGAGAAGAATCACCGGGTTCAGACTACGGCTCCCATTTAGTGTTCGCGCGCGCGGCGATCGCGATGTCTGCGGACTTATCTACCGGACTTAGTGTACAATAACGTCATTTTAATTCAATTTCACAATACCACGTTCGAGGAGATCCATTACATCTTCCAACTTACTGTTACCTCCAAGGTTCTTGATTTCCGATCGGATGTCAGCACTAATTTTTCGAAGCCGGGATAATGTATAGCTGAAAGTTCGAGCCAGCAAGCTGTCACTTTTACAACATTTTGAAGTTTCAGGGCCAGGGAGAGTCACAAACTATTTACTGGGAGGCACTCCCATTCATTCCAGTTCTGGGGCCCACTAGTTCAGTCTTCTGTTTATTAAATTACCACTTCCAATCCCCTCTGACTACAACAATGTCCATATGCAGAAGCCACGGATCGGGGTACGCGACTCACCTCACAAATGATTAATAATCACTGACGGCCAATCCTACTACCGGTGCTCCAAAGTTTGCGCTACAATTACCCTTCGCTACAATTGCCTTAACTGCTACTTTACATACTATTATTTGAAATATGAGATGAGGCCGTGAGCTACTTCCACGGCCTTCCACAACTCCAGCGGACACAATTCAATGGTCTCCTTTACAAAAGCGTTATCGATGCATCTCAAGGCCACCATCTTTGTCAGAAGTAGTCTCTTACTATTTCAAGATTAGACGCTTCTCAACAGCCAGTCTTAACAACCAGAACAGGTGAATGACTGTTGTTAATCCCCTTACAATCATGAAAAATAAAATACGTATTCTTCTGCTGATCAACTCACTCAAGAGAGTGCCGTTCTTTGATAAGTTTGATGCAATATTTCTTCACTTCTACGTCTTCAGTTCGCTGACGCAGGATGTCTGGAAGTAATACAGCAAGGCATATTATTATATTATCCTACTATATGTAATCCGCTAGTATGTCTGTAAATGTGTTTGCGTTACGTGTTTTTGTCGTTGTGCGTCTGTGATGTCTCTCACGAAAGTTCATAGCGAGCCATCGGCCAGAAAGGATAGGACGACCGAGTTTCAAGATAGTGATATACATGGGCAGGGAGGGCGAACACTGCGTGGATGGGCTGACTAGTAATGTCGACAGGCACCTGATAAGATCAGATAAGGGGCCCTTAAAAGGTGCGAGGGTTTCGGGAGGGTGACCGAGCCCATAGTGCGGGACACAGTAACAGTGGGACATTGGTTCCAAGGTATGATATAGGACGTGGGACAGGAACATTATTGATGGGTGACAGGAAAATGACAGCAGCTGATAAGATCCGTTAAGAGGCGTCAGAAGGAGAGGGTGACCGAGTCCATAGTGAGGGGACACAGTAACAGTGGGACATTGGTTCCAAGGTATGATACAGGACGTGAGACAGAAGCATTATTGATGGATGCCAGGGAATGCTGATAGGATTTGATAAGGGGAGTTAGAATGGTAAGGTCACCATACTCATAACGCGGAACACAGCATCAGCTAGGCATTAATTTCTGAAAATGACTGCTAGAAGTTGAAGATGGCACGTGAGGAAGATAACAGCTGATTAGGGCGACTGATAAAGGAACGCTTGCCAGGTGCTGTTCAGTCAAATTGCTGGAGCCTTGTTACACCTTAGCTTATAATCTTTTATAATCTACATATTATAGAGTTTTAGTGGTAGGGACATTGATAACGGGTGACAGGATCTTATCAGTTGATAAGAGGACAAGGGGCCTCCCACTGGTATTATATTAGGTTGGCTAATAAGTAATGGCCGTTTTTTCAATTGAAAAATTTGTTCGAAAAGTGAAACGTTTTGCAAGCAAGTTATATATCATCTGATAGGAAACTTCTCGTAGTATAAGAATATCAAAAAAGCTTTGGTTGAGGATATAGTTTTTGTGAATTTTTTAGTCGTTGAAGTTGGAAGTGAAGTCGGCGAAAATTAGCATCTTCGACAACTGCCTCTATTTAGAAATTTCATGCTAATAGTTGAATTAATTGAATTTGAATTTGATATTCTAATACTACGAGAAGTTTGCTATTAAACGATGTTAAGCTTGCTTGCAAAACTTTTCACTTTTGAAACAAATTTTTCAATTGAAAAAACGGCCATTACTTATTAGCCAGCCCACTAGCAGTTATTAGCCAGCCCACTAGCAGTGGGCTGGCTAATAAGTAATGGCCGTTTTTCTTCAATCGAAAAATTCATTCCAAGGCCAAACGTTTAGTGCAGCAGCTTAATATCGTTTAATTACGGCCAAATATCTCGTAGTATTAGAATATCAAATTCGAATTCAATTAATTCAACTATTAGCATGAAATTTCAGGTGGAACAGACGTGAGCCTGCCCAATATTGGCAAGGTGAAGGTTGCCAACTTTGAAATTCTTGAAATTAGTTCCAAAGCGTCCTATTGAGATTCCCTTGCTGAGACTTCTACCTCAACCTTTTCCGAATGTATGGAGCAGCTTAAGCGATTTTAGCACTTCGAGTAGACGTAAATAGAGGCAGTTGTCGAAGATGCTAATTTTCCGACTTCACTTCCAACTTCAACGACTAAAAAATTCACAAAAACTATATCCTCAACCAAAGCTTTTTTGATATTCTTATACTACGAGAAGTTTCCTATCAGATGATATATAACTTGCTTGCAAAACGTTTCACTTTTCGAACAAATTTTTCAATTGAAAAAAACGGCCATTACTTATTAGCCAACCTAATATATTGTCATACACTTGGCACACAATAGATTTGAAAGCATAGTTGCGCTTATGCGTCAGTTCACCCTCTCCCACCCCTGCCAGAAAGTCACAGCATAAACCGAAGTCGACTCAGAATGCTGCTAGGACTCTGCAGGGAATACAAACACAGGCGCCTCAAAAAAATATGTGACCAACGTACTTAGCACGGGGTCATCGTTGCTGGACACCGGAGAGCTTCGTATCGCATGAATGATGGGAAATGAGAATTTCCCTTCAGTGAGATCTTCTGCAAACGATTTTTGCTTCGCCATTTCGTCCGAGACCAGATTCATATAATCATCTCTAGAAAAAACCAGAATTGTGTTGCTGTGTAGCAGTCCAAGTGCCATGTGCAATGGAACTGAAATACTAATTTCTTATTCGAAATAGGATGAAAAGCCAAACCGTATTTGAAAGAACAAGGCCATCTGTCGTAGCAACTTGCGAAAATCATATTTACTCTCACTGAATAACTCTATTAGCTTCACGGCGAGAAAGAATAATCCGC